TGTTTCCACCTTCTCCTCTCCAGTTCCTCCAACAGCATGGTCAGGTAGGAACAAAAATGCTAAAATGGTGCCTAATTACCCAAAGAGATTTTCACAGGAGTGCTTTGTACTGCAAACTTCACCTACAATCACAAGAGATGAAGTCGTGTGTGTGTGTGTGTGTGTGTGTGTGTGTATGAAAGAGAGAGAGAGAAAGAGAGAGATTATATCATCAAAACAAGAAGAATTCTGAGTTGGATTACATTTGGTCACCATCTCCCAGGATCTTCCAGGACATGCTTTCCTATTGTAGCCCACAGAGTTGTGTAGGATGCTCACCAACATTGGTTACACCAGGGATGCACTTCCTGGAGTTGATGTGGTGGTCAAGTATTTATACAGTCCATCTTTCCCCTTGAAAAGCCTCCTCATTTTCTTTCCACTTGCCTGAGAAGCTTATGCCAGCACTGAATGGCAGAGCAGTTCGGCTTTTACTCTCTGCTTCCTTCATAATTGCAGACAGAGTAGCATGTTTCCACCACCCCACCACCACCACCCTTCTCCAGTGACACCTCTAAATACTTTGTGTATTTTTGTCTCCTTGTAGGCAGTCAATTCTGGGGAACTCCGGGCATTTGACTGGGGGAGTGAGACCAAAAATCTAGAGAAATGTAATCAGGTAAGAAAATCAAATACCATCTGCTGAAATACATATTCTTTGAAAATGTGTGAGAGGGAAGTTGTAGCAACAGCAGTTTATTCTAGAGATGGGAATAAAATATGAGAATTCAAGCAGAGAATAATAGTCAGGGATGACTCCATTTGAAGATGAGAAAGTTCATAGCTTAGCCAGGACACCACTCTGCCTCTACAATGGAGTAGGAGGCCATTTTTGCTGAGGTTTCCTCCCTGAACAAGGCACAAGGCTTCTCAGGAGCAAGGTGGGGTAGATTTAGTACAGAGAAAAGTGCAGTCTATGGTGGATCCTGGAAGGAATATTTTAGGATAAAAATAAACAGACAAACAAATGGGGGTGGTGGGGGCAAGGTTGTTTCATGGCACAGTAAAAAGAACATTAAACGGCCAGTGAAGATTGCTGTGTTAATCTTGCCTCTGCACTAAAACTTATGTGGTAGAGGGTAGGCTGCTTTAATTCTTCAGATCTCAATTTCTTTATCTTTAAAACAAAAATTACTGGATTAGAAAATTCATAAGAATTCTCCATGGTCATACTTTTATTGAATCTATGATTTGCAATTTCAAAATATGAAAAAAAAATGTTATTACTTTACCCAAAATAATACACAGCTAATGCTATGGAATAAAATTAAAAATCAAAATGTAGAGAATTAGAATTGGATAGGTATGTGCTTTTGAGCATAAAATCTTCACGGAAGAATATTGGTTAGCACTGTAAATATTTACCATGCAAACAGAGCTAGAGGGAGCAGATTAGACACAGCTCAATCTTCTTTTGAGAGTCTCACGTCATACTTTACATCCACTGCCGTGCATCAATCCAGACATAAAGCACTAGGAAATTGGACAGACTGTGTAGCGCCCCTGGATAGAAAACTCTCAATCACTGATATTGGCTACTTCTTTTTTAAGGTCCTTCTTCACTATTTCCTAAAATGTCTTTAGAGAAAGTATTCAGTTCTAAGATAGTTTTAGTTGATCAACATTTAATGGACTGAGTTCTAGAGGAAACGATACGTGCAGAGTAGGCTCCAGAAAATGGTAACAGAAGGGAAGGGAAAACAAACATACAAAAAGGTGTCATAAAATCACAGAAACTTACAGCTAAACATGATGTTTAGTTCAATCTTTTCACTTTTAAGATGAGAAAAAAAATTGTTACTGACCCCATAGAATATTCCAAACTTGCTTGTCTAAATTAGGCCATAACTCCAAATTCTTGGGGAGGCACAAAGAGAAACCAAAACACTTAGGATTTGAGCAAAGATGCCATGGTGGGTTTTCTGAGTAAGAAACAGGCCTTCCCATTTCTCCGAAAAGTTCTGGGTGCTGATTAATCCCAAGGGCTCAGCTAGCAGCACTGCTTGGATAAGGGAAGGTTCGCAGGAATTAGGAATACTGCATACCCTTTTTGGAGTGATTTTCAGAGGCAGGGGCAGGAAATGAGGGTTGGAGCAGGTATTTAACTTTTACCTCTGCTTGGCTCAAATTACCTGAGGCCCATTTGTTGATTTCTCCATGTTTTGGAGATGCAGTCAGGCTGGGCCTGCCTCAGGGCTGCCTGTGATCAGTCTCTGTGACAATCTGGAGGCCTTCCCAGTAGGTCTTTTTGTCTTTTTCTGTAGAATATTCCTATTTCTTGTCTCATGAAATGGTCATGAAATTAAATTTTAAAAGGATAGAGACATTATTTTTAAAAGCAGTTTATTTGAAAAATATTTAATAGGAAGAAAAAAAGTACAAGGCATTACGTGCTTTTTTGTGTTTTCTCACTTGACCTGGTAAGTTATTACAGATACTATTTCCATTCACAGACAAAGAATCCAGGATTCAATAATGTAAAGTAATTTTACCTTAATGTAGGGGCTGGGACAGAAACTCTTATATGTCTCTAAGGCCCAGGTACCCTTCACCACAACACATGGAACATTTATTATGTTTATTTGAAAAGTAAATTAGGAGTTTGGAAGGCCAAATGTTACCTAGAGTTAAAAACTATTCCTTTTCTCTAGCCAACTCCTGTAAGGTACAAAGTTAGAGATATGACGGTCCCTACAGCCATGTGGACAGGAGGGCAGGACTGGCTTTCGAGTCCAGAAGATGTGAAAACATTGCTATCTGAAGTGACCAACCTCATCTACTATAAGAACATTCCTGAATGGGCTCACGTGGATTTCATCTGGGGTTTGGATGCTCCTCACCGTATGTACAACGAAATCATACATCTGATGAAGCAGGAGGAGACCAACCTTTCTCGGGGAATGTGCGAGGTCATACTGTGAAGCATCTGATAACAACAGGTCTTAGGAACTCTCATGGAAGATGGGGCCAGGGCCTGTGAAGGATTTTAAAAAGGATTTCCAGAATTGGAAACCTACCATCTTGGTAGAAGAGAAGGAATATAGAATACATTCCTTCAGATTTCCTGCATTTGGCACTAAAACTTACATTTACCTTTTATTCAGTTAATTAAACTACTCATTGGGTGAACACAGGTTTTATATGCTATTATATAATCTACCATCTTGAACAGTAGATTTTACCTGATAGCCACAATGTATCTAGACATTCTCTATGTCATTCAGGTAAACCTCTTTAAAACCTCTTTAAAAATAAGCTGTATTTTTGGAGCAGTAAAATAAAAGGACAACTTCGGACAGTTATTGAGGTCTTGAATCTCAGGATTGTTTTTGACCCTGACAAAATAAGCTAGACTTTTTCACCTTGTTGCCATAGAGATGTAACACTACCTCAGGAAGCCAAGATGCTTTAATAACAACAACAAAAATAATCAATGTTACAGTATGGATAACATATGTTAAGCATCCTCCAAATAAACTCAAGTTTTACAGTTGGATCTCAGAGAAGAAAATTTTGTAGGATATTTATGTGTTTTCCAATAAATGAGTTATGTATTCAATAAAGCATGTATGTATATTTCAATAGATTCTAGTCCAAGCTTGTTTGAGAGTTTACAGCCCGTTGCTAGGAGACCTAATGGCTAGAAATCCTAGCCTCCAAAGTTTTCTGCCTCCAAAAATTAAAAACTAGGAAGAAAATTTTATAACATCATGAGCAAAATGAAACAAATTATCATGCATTTTATCCTTTAATCTGATAAAGTTAAAGGATAAAACTCACAAACCTAGATTTATTTCTTTAGAAAATTTTTCAATTTTTACACAGTTTCAAAGATGACAGTTGTAAATTACATGAGTAATTACTATTTCACAAAATCTCTGAAATCAAATTGAGGATATGCTGATGTGTGTCAAAGGTGTACTGTGGAAGGTATATTGGTGTGTGAAGTGCACTTGTTTTTTCTGTCCCCCAGAGACACCTGGTAACTCAGTTCAATGCTAATCAATCTTAAAAAATTTATTAAGAGACATTTAAAGCCTTCAGAATCTATATCTACACACTGCTTCCCTCACAAAATATGTGCCTTTAGGGCCTGTACATAGTTTAATAAATACTGCTGGATTTGATTTTATTAGATCTTTGTTTTGTTCAAGGATGGTAAATCTTTCATTCTTAGACTGCCTGTGTTGCTACATATAGTGTAGCTTAGTCTATGTCTACAGCTATGCACAATTCAGTCTTGATTTGCAAAATTCAATCATATTTTTAAGGCGTATTTATTTCTATTCTGTCTCATTCACAAAGGAAGTGAGACAGATATTTCGACATTCACAATCTTTCACTTAGAAATATAATCCAGATACTACCTCATTAGATAGCTCTCTTTCTTGTGAAGAAGTCCTTTAACCAAATAAGCTACAATGATGTTTTAAATTTTATCAATAAAAATAAACAAAACAAACAAGCTTGGTAGCTACCTTATATTTACAAGAGGGTCATGAAGATATTTTGTAAAACAAACATTTTGATGATAGACATTTCTAGTGGTATGCTAGTAACCAGTTCTCTGAAAACTTAAAAAAAAGTTCTCACTTGTCAATTTGCCAATTTCTGTGATGTAAACACACCCACCACTCACACCTGATAGATGTCTTTGTAGAAGTTGTTTCATCAAAGGAATGTTTGCATGTGACTCTCTAAACCCACACACATCTACATACCATTCTATACAAGTGTACATACTTTGATTCGTCCTCTCAGTAGTCAAGGGGCCTGAGAGGACAGTTTGTCTCCTAGGACATGACATAGACCAAACACCCTCTTTGTAAAGTGATGCAACCAGGAAGAGAGAACACTGTCTCCAAAGGTAACTTTGATCCTCTTCTTCCAGAGAGACTGAGATTGAAACATCAGCTGCTGCTGTTGTTGTTGTTGTTGTTGTTGTTGTTATTGTTGTTTGAGACGGGGTCTTGCTACATTGCTCAGACTGGTCTTGAATTCCTGGTCTGAGGTGATCCTTCCACCTCAGCCTACCAAGTAGCTGGGACTTTAGGTGTGAGCCACTGCACTTGGCTGAAATATCAGTTTTTGACTAAAGTGGAGACTCCAACAACCTTAGTGTTTAACTTAGAAGGATTATGGCCATGGTGAACTCAATTAAGCAAAAAATATTGTAAATAAAAAGCTCTTCAAAAACATTACCCACAGCAACCATTACTATCCTCATAAAATAGTGGCATCCAGGTTGAGGGGCCCACAGACCAACACTCTGAGATGGAGCTAGAATTCCGTCCTTTAACTTTGTCTGTGTGTCCACTTGTGAGGTCACAAGGATTATGACGCTTTCCTTAGCATTAATTCAATCTGGGAAAATTTTAATCTCCGTGCAATATCCAGTGAACTCTCACCATGCTGAAGAAGAAAAATTACAGTTATTTCCAACAGTGTCAAATGTCAATGCGAAGGATCTAGTAAACAGCTTGGACTGATTGACTCCTGGCTTGGCAAGGGCTTCAAATGTCATTCAGTTCTAATAGTAACAAGATAACTTCGTTCCTTAATGGGGATGATTCACTTTGTTGTTATTAACATCAGAAGCAAATGATTTACTTCAACATAAGACATAGATTAGAAGATGCTGCTGCTAAAAGGACCTCAGACTGTGGTCCACAGATCCTTACCTTATTCTTAATCATGGGGTCTGCGTGGGCTTCCAGGAGCAGAGGGATAAGAGTCTGGTTCTTCATTTCGCAGGCGTAGTGCAACGCGGTGCAGCCATACTGAAACACAAAGGGCCAACATTACAGCTCATCAACCGGGCTTCACAGCCTGTGGCATGTGGCTTTAGCAAGTCCTTTTCACACTTTGTAGTGTACAACTGAGCAAAACAGTCTGAGAACTATAGATGGGCAACTGTATTTCTTGTACTTAAAAAGTTTTCTTCTCTGCCTCAATATGTATTTAGATTAATGTCCTGTAAGCCATCAATATCTGCCTTTTTCAATTTCTTTTCTAAACTAAAGGATACGATTTAGGCCAGGCTCATGCCTGTAATCCTAGCACTTTGGGAGGCCAAGGCTGGAGGACCACTTGAGGTCAAGGGTTCAAGACCAGCCTGAGGAAGAGTGAGACCCCATCTCTACAAAAAAATAGAAAAATTAGCTGGACATGGTGACACACATCTGTAGTCCCAGCTACTGGGAGGCTGAGGCAGGAGGATTGCGTGAGCCCAGGAATTTGAGGTTGCAGTGAGCTATGATGACACCACTGCACCCTAGCCCGGATGACAAAGCAAGACTCGGTCTCAAAAAAAAAAAAACTGCAACTTATAAAAAGTTGATGCTGAAGTGTGCCAAGGTTTCTTGGTAGAAGGCTGTATGTCTGGGTAATCATCACCTTGATCATGTTACCATCTTTTCCCTTAAAGGTCTCCATATAGACCTTTTTACAAATATTATCCTCTATGAGTTTGATCAAAATCCCTACAACGTGAAGAAGGCAAGTGCTCATATTGCTACGGTCCACCTACAAGATCAATGTAGTTTTACTAATAAGTCTCCCAAATTTTATTTCTCATAACTTATATTATATGTTATATTTAATAAAACAGTGGATCTACTCTATTGGTACTAATTTAAAACACCAACTACAGGTCCAAAAAAATTTATAGCTGGGGCACTGGTGTTCAGAATTTTGCCTTTCAAAAACCAGCCAAGCAACCATGGTTTGGGGCAAGTAGAAAAATAACATCTTTACCTGCATTGCTTAATGAAGACAATGACTTGATAGTCTTTAACTATCAAGATTAACACAATTATCTCTGGAGACAATGCTGCAATCACTTATTTTTATTAAGTGATAGCATGGTGAAGGAAAGATCTGGCTCTGAATTTTTCCATGTGAAATACAGTCTACCTACCTAAAAATACAAAACAGTGCATTATTTAGAAAATGGATCTTAATATTTAGACAGTTTGTAAAGAATATTTGGTGAAAGACATGGGTGTCTGTGTGCGTGTGTGTACATGCCTGCATCTGTCCCCAGGAATGTAATATCTGTATCTAGAGACACAGATAGCATAAATAGCTGGAAAAATATCCTAGAGAAAGTTTTGTCACAGGGACAAATTTTAAATCTATTGAATTTAAATGAAAATACCATGAAAACCTTCAATAAACTCAACTTAATCTTTAATAAACTCTTAATGTATTTCAAAGATATCTAAGTGAATGATCTAAGGGATCTAATGGATAGACACTGTAGTTGTTTATCTAAATTTATCCAAAAATTCCATTTGAAATATAATAAAAGGAAAACATACATTTCATAAACTTACTCTTTTGTGTTCTCTCTCTCTCTCTCTCTCACACACACACACACACACACCCCATGCACAAAATTACCTCCATTTAAACACGATGCAAATACAACCAAAACTAAATTGATATGAATAATTAATAGAAACAGGGATGGAGAGACACTGTTGCTATTACAGAACAACAGTAATACACACCCACAGGTGCGCACACAAGTAAAATAAATTAGGCATCACGAACAGAATGTTAGATTTTGGAATCAAATTTCTACTTGCCTATTTTTCCAATAAAGAACTGGAAAAGAAAAACTTTATTCAATCAACATAAGCAAATAAAACACCATACAAATAACCTTCTGTCTCATTGTGATCATTTAAGGAAGGAAGACAAGTGCAAGGGTGTGGAGGTAAAGGGTGGAAACAAAACCTTCCACTTATAAACAGGAAGCAGTGAGCTGTTGCTCTCTGGTTGTTATCACTGTTCTTACTATCCTTTGGTTTGTCTTTGACCTTTGTCCTTATCTATCTTTCATTTGCAGATGGGGCCTCTCATCAGCAGGTTGGGAACTTGGCTGTAGCAGCAGCTGTTTACATTTGGTGAGCACTTACCATGTGCCAACCATCTGCTAAGTACTTTATGTGAACCAGCCCAATAAGTATTATCCGTATCCCCATTTACAGATGAGGAAATTGAGTGTCAAATGAGTGTATGAGTTTCTCAAACTCACATAAGCAGAAAGTGGTAAGCCCGGATTTACACATGGGCATACTGACTCCAGCTTCTTAACTACTGAGGATGGTACTTTGTGATCAGAGCCTTCGTTTTCCTTAACTTCTCACCAATGTCAAAGCCAATTCTTTTAAAAATGTTCTATAATCAATAAAGATTTTATTCCCGTGAGTTGAGCAGAATATAAATAACCTCAAGTTTGCCTATGAAAAAAAAAAGAAAGAAAATAAAAAGAAAGCTAAATGTAAAAGTGTCCAGGAAGAAAAAGCAAACAACTTTATAGATGACAAGTACACCACCTACAAATACCATTTTGAGTATTTTTTCTAAAATGGTTAAAAATATAAACTTACACAGTCTGCAGCATTAACTTCGACACCAGCATCAAGTAGCATTCGTACAAGAACCTCATTCTGCTTTGTCTTTGATACCTGTTGTAGATGGCAATTACAAGAAAGGTTTATTTACAAACATTTTCTCCAATTTATGTCTGAGACTAATCAATAGGCTTCGTTTTTTATGTATTTATTTTTATTTCAGGATATTATGAAGGTACAAACATTTTGGTTACATTTTATGACTTTGCCCCACCCAAGTGAGGATTAGAGGTATGCCCTTCCCCTCTACAATGCTCACCACGTCCATTAGTTCTGAGTTTACCCCCCAACCCCCTAATTCCTGGAGAATATTACTACCATGTGAGCACCATAGTGTTGACCAGTTAGTGCCAATTTGATGGCGAGTACATGTGCAGCCTATTCTTCCATTCTTGTGATACCTCACTTCAGAGGATGGGCTCAAGCTCTATCCAGGAAAATATAAGAGGTGCTAGATCACCGTCGTTTCTTATAATTGAGTAATATTCCATTGTGTGCATATACCAAATTTTAATAATCCACTCATGAATTGATGGGCACTTGTGTTGTTTCCACATCCTTGCAATAGTGAATTGTGCTGCCATAAACATTCGGGGGCAGATGTCTTTATTATAGAATGTCTTTTGCTCTTTGGGATAGATGCCTAATAGTGCTATTGCTGGATCGAATGGTATTTCTATTTTTAGCTCTTTGAGTTATCTCCAAATTCTTTTCCACAGAGGTTGAACTAATTTGCAGTCCCACCAGCAGTGTAAGAGTGTTCCTGTCTCTCCACATCCTCACCAGCATGTGTTGTTTTGGGATTTTTTGATAGAGGCCAATCTTACTGGGGTTAGGTGATATCTCATTGTGATTTTGATTTGCATTTCTCTAATGATTAGAGATGTTGAGCCTTTTTTTATATGTTTGCTGGCCATTATTCTGTCTTCTTTTGAAAAGTTTCTGTTCATTTCCTTTGCCCATTTGTTGATGGGGTGTTTGATTTTTTCTTGTTGATTTTTTTAAGTTCTAGATAGATTCTTGTTATCAGCCCTTTATCAGATGTGTAGAGAGAAAATATTTTCTCCCATTCTGTAGGCTGTCTATTAGCTCTAATGATAGTTTCCTTGGCTGTGCAACTATCATTAGAGTGAATAGAGACATAGACCTTTGGAACAGGACTGAGAATCCAGAGATGAAACCATCTGCATATGGTAATCCAATCTTTGACAAAGCTGACAAAAATATACACTGGGGAAAAGAATCTCTTTTCAATACATGGTGCTGAGAAAACTGGATAGCTACATGCAGAAGACTGAAACTGGATCCCCACCTCTCACCTTTCACAAAAATCAATTCAAGATGGACAACAGACTTAAACCTAAGGCATGAAACCTTAAGAATTCTAGAAGAAGATGTTGGGAAGATCTTTTCAGACATCGGCCCAGGGAAAGAATTTTTGAAGAAGACTCTCAAAGCAATCACAGCAGCAACAAAAATAAATAAATGGGATCTGATCAAATTAAAAAGCTTTTGCACAGCCAAGGAATAGGCTTCATTTTAATCCCAACACTCCTATGCATCTGTGCATCTTTCTTAAAATTTTCCCTGCCTCCTCACCCCCTTCAACATTAATAAATTAAAGCCAGGTTCTCAGAGTGTGGTCCTGGGACAGCAGCGTCAGCACCTAGGAACTTATTAGAAATGTACATTCTCAGGCCCCACCCTAGACCCACCAAGTCCTACTGAGGATGGGGTCCAGCACCTGTCTTTCTCTTCCTGGCTCAAAACTCTACAGTAACTTTTTAATTGAACAAAATTGGTAAATTAACTTCACATTGTTCTGAGGGCAAAAGTAAACTCTTCAGCATGGCTACAAATCCCCAGATGTTGTAGCCCCATGTGTGTCCCTAACCTCTCTCTCACTCCACACTTCCTGGCTCCCTCTGATGTAACTACACTGGCCTTTGTTAGCCTTTCATTACCACCCAGCTCCCTCCTGCCAGAGAATCACTGCACAATAAGTTCCTTCTGTTTAGAAGCCTCCTCCCTCCCTTCTTCACCTGTTAGATTCATCCTTTGTATCTCAGCCCAAGCACCTCTTCCTCCAAGAAGCTTTCCCTGATCCACCTGACCACCTGAAATCCTTCTCTCCAGGCTCTTGTAACACCAGTCACCTCTCTGTATCTCCTGCTTCGTAGAAATTTTACATGTGTTTGTGTCATCTGATTAATGACTCTCTCCTCTTCACCCTCTACCCTTCATAAGAACAAGGATTATGCCTGTTTTGTTTGTTGTGCTCCTAACACCTAGTACACTGTCTCGCACATAATAGATCCATAACAAATACATATTGAAGGATTGAACAAATGAATGAAATCAACAAGGGCTCCTCAGAAATCCACTTTTCCTTCCTAGTCCCCTGAGATCTGACCACATGCCAGTTGGAGCCGCCCCCCCAACATCCTGTGGCCTGAAGAAGCAAAGCTCTGCCTGCTCAAGTGGGCATAGCCCTGGAGTTCATGCCGTCCTCACCTGGGAAGCTCCATCCAATTTTCTTTCCTGTCTCTTATTTTCTATGCATCACAAATTTACAATTTCAGGCCCCATTGATAAATAGCATACATGTGCAATTGGAGCCAGGCTATTCATTACAGATAGTATTTTTGACCAGGCCTCTGGCCTTTAAACATTGGACCATCTTAGAAAGCAGACTTGCGTGTCAGAAACACGTCTGAATGAGCCTTGCTAATCATAGTTGTTATTTTTTTCTTCAGAATCTCTAAAAAATGTTTGTAAACAAATGACATATTTTCCCTTGCCCCAAAACTACAAATATTCAAATGCTATGTGCAAATACATGATGAATTTTTCAAGAACTCTTCAAGGGTATAAGCAGGTTATGTGTTTATCAGTGAATGAAAATTTTCTTTCTCTTTCTCCCATGAATCTAAATATCAAAATCAACATTATCATATTTAATTATAGTTTCTCAAAGTCTGTAACATTTAAATACCCAACAGGTAACATTTCCAACCAGTAGACTTGTTCTGGAGCTTATGTTAACAGGGATAACTAACACCCATGGTCTCCTAGCTACAAAGAGGAGGAAGTTTAGTCATTTAACTAGAGTAAATTATGGATCTTGTGACTCACGTCTCAGAGATGGAACTGGGCACAAGGGAAACCAGATGGAAAAAAGTGAATGAGTCAGTGCAGACCTGTCACACTATTTGTAAAAAGCAAACAACCCCACCAAAAACTTTAAGCTTCCCTACTAATACGACTTCACTCCTACACCAACTGCATCTTTCTTTATCGGAGAAAATTACTGGGGAGGAGCCAAGATGGCGGATGAGAAAAGCCTCCAGTCAGAGTGTCTCTGCAAAAAAGACAGATTTTAGAAGAAAGTGAAAAAATAAACTAGCAGAGAAACATAGATCGGGTGAGGGTCAGAAGGAAGGGTGCCTGAAACTACAGGAGACTCCATGGGAAGATGTTGCGGAGGAGAACTGGAAGGAAAACGGTCCCCGAGAGGCTTGGAGACCAGCGACAAGGGTAGGCGGAGCGGTTAACTTCCCCCTCCCTTGCATTTTGGACTGCTGGTGGGCTCCTGAGCGGCTGGAGAGACCTGCTGACACCAGCCCAGAGACGGCTGCCGCCAGTGAGCAGTGGCCTCTTGCGGACTCAGCGCCGGGCTCCCAGCCCCTCAGGGCACCTCCTCGGGCACAGACACGAGCCTATCAGCAGACGCCATAGTGCTCCATTCTCTCCTTCCCCTTCCCTACCCATGGGTGCCCAGAGAGACAATTTAGCCATCACATGGAAGCATCTCCAAGGAACGGGACTTTTCCTTTTGGGGCCCTACAGCAGACTGAGGGGTACTGAGACTGGGAGCTCCCTACCCGCCAGCTCTCCCAGGTGCTGCTTGCCTGGGGACTCCAGGAGAGCAGGGCAAATCCCGAGATGGAGTCAATAAGCTTGGGCACCCTGTAGGTGATTTGAGACCAGCACCCCTTGCCCTTGCAGGGTCAGGGATTAATCTCCAGGGCCCAGGGGACAGGCCTGCAGACCAGACCCCGTATACCCAGGTCACGATCGCACTGCCCTGGGACACAGAAGGGAGATTTGTGAAAGAGCCTACTGAGGAGTTTGCGCCTTCAGGGGCAGATCAGCGTGCCTGACCGGCAACCCTCCTCCCAAAAGAGGGCTGTGCACCCAGCTCAGGCTGCAATCCTGGGTAGGGAACCTCCCGGCCCACGTCACAGCCAGGGGAGATCCATCAGCCTGAGGTCCTCCTTGCTGGCAGAGGCCTGGGAGAAGCCACGGAGAGGGGGAGGGTGGAGGAGAGTGAGACCGGCTCCAGAGTGTGGGTCTTGGACAGCCCCACCCCCAAGCCCAGACTTTTCAGCTGAGTGGAGCCATTTCAGCCCCTCCTGGCAGCTTTGCACAGAAACAAAGAACAGACCTTTGACCCCTGCTAACAGCAGTTGTGGAGCCTGAGGGCAGGCTTACCCAACCCAGCCCCACCCAGACTTGCTCCTGGACCTGCCCCCACTAAGGTGGAGAATAAGGACACACCTGGAAGTCCCAGGGCCCCACCCACCACCCGAGGCACAAGAGGCCTCTCCAGAGGAACAAGAGCTGGCTACAAGACACCAAAACAGCACTTCAGCTCGCTCCTCCCAGCAAGTGCCACCTACTAACAGGGAGGTCATTCTGCACACCCTTTTACTGCATCTACTGATTCATCATAAAGGGTGTGGTCGAATCTCACCCACAAACACCACCTACTGGCTCAGAGACTAAACAGAGCGTGTCATTATCCAAACGAAAATCTAAAGGCAAGAAGGAACAACTGATCCAGATGGGAAGGAACCAGCGAAAGAACTCTGGAAGTATGAAGACTCAAACGGAAAGCACACCCCCAAAGAGGAACAACAGCTCCCCAGCAATGGACATTAACCAAACTCAGAACACTACAATGACAGAAGAAGAATTTCAAACATGGATTGTAAGAAAACTGAATGATATGCAAGAAAAAATGGATAACCAACACAAAGAAACTACAAAAA